GATTCCAGGCATTTTGTTCCCAGGGTATTTCCTCTGCTTGGCTCTGAGTTCCTGCAGGGCAGAGCCAGTGTCTCATTTCTCTCAGGGCCCAGCCCAGAGTCTGGCCCAAAGGGCACCGAGAAAGGTTTGAAGAATGAATGAAGTTGGAATTGAGCTGAACCTTGGATAGATAAAGGAGAAAGGAAGAAAGCATTTCAGAGACAGAGGCAGGAACAACATGGCTGGAAAGATAGGGCACTCGTGACCGACTTGTCTTGAGGGACAGAAGGATCTGGTTTGGGAGGGAGGTTGACATTTGTGCCAGTTCTCTCTCTCTCTCTCTCTCTCTCAAACCTTTCCTATGGTGCTAAGCCAGTGCTCTCTCAAACATCTGCCACAGTGTTTGTGAGTCTGGTCCTCACATCAGCCCTGAGAAAAAGATGTAATTATTCCCATTTTATTGATGAGATAACGGAGGCTCAGAAAGTGGATGAGCAGGAATACAAATAGGCCTGTCTGATTTCTGAGCCTAAAGAAGTAGGTGGTTGGACTTTGTAGCCCTAAAGGTGGGCATAGTTTGAGGGGTCCTGGCCACACAATATGTCACCAGCCTCTGTCCCGAATAGAAGGCAATGGCATACGCATGGGTCATGATCCCATAGTGTGGCCCTGTGCTGGCTTAGGTGGAAATAGGGGCGGTAAATGACAAGTGGTTTCATACCCGCAGCCCTTTACCTGCACAGCTGCTGACACCCCATGTGCCCTGCCTCCCTTGCCCCACTATGGACTTTTCTGGTCCTCCAGGTGATCCCTACTCTTCTTTCAAGCTTGACTCAAGCCTCCCTTTTCTCTGGAGGCTCCTTCTGGAGTAGATCTGACCTTTCATGGCATTGGGTCTTTATTTGCCCCTGCTCCAGCACGTAACCCCAGGAGGTCCTATTGAATGTTTGCAGAGTGAATGAGTGTGTACACATGTCCAGGAAATCCCCATCCGCCAGATTCTCTAGAGAGAGGCAAGGTCTCCCATCCCCCACCTCCTTCCTCTCTTCTCTCCTCCCCTTCCCTGCCCCATCCCTGTGGTGCTGAGTCCAGCAAGGCTGGAGGCTGAAGCAGCTGCCTCTGGCTGCAAGAACCAGTGGGCCCAGGGGTGGGGGGGAAGCAGGAAGGGTTGCCAAGCCAAGCCTGCTCCACACCTCCCATCTAGGAGGGCAGATGGCACAGGGCAGAGTGGGCATGGCTGGGAAGGGCTGAGAAGCCAGGCCACCAGGTCAGTTTGGGAGGAAGAAGCTTCCTGCCAGCCTTCCACCCAGTAGGCAAGCCCGCTGGGAAGGAATCACCTGTGCACTCCCTTGGCGGAGAGCCTGAGAGTCAGGGCTAGACCTGTTGTCAAGAAGACTGCATTTCAGACTGCATTTGGCAATTCTCTGGGCCCGGCTAGGGGTGGGATGGGACGCAGAGATGAATAAGATCCATTTCCTCCCCAGGGGAGCTTACTGCCAGACATTTAGGGAATAATAATAACAGTTAACAATCACTGAGCACTTTACCAAGTGCCAGACACTGATCTAATTGAAAACTAACTGCACGCTCACAACAGCCCAAGAGATAAATGCTACTATAAGCTCCATTTGACCTGTGGGGATAATGAGGCACAGAGAGATCGAGTAGCCTGCCCCAGACCACATGGTACGTAAGCTACATACTGGGATGCCTGAGTGTGGACCCAGGCAGTCTGGCGTCAGAGTCTCTGCATTTAGCCCTCACACTACACATGCTGTAAGCCAGCCCAGGTGCCATCTGCCATGGCCAACACATGCAGCATCTTAATTCCCACTTTGCCCCCTTGTCAGGAGGTTTTTAGGCTCTGTAAACGTGCCAGTCACCAAAGTATGCTTTAGGATATCACCATGACTAGTGCCCTTTGCTGCCTGCCATGGTTACATCTTTATCTATGGGCTTGTATTCTCATTCCTGGGAAGCACAGTTCCTGTGACTCTACCATCTCACAGTCCCTTGGAATGTCTTGTACAAAGCAGGTACTCAGATGCATTTGCTGTTGAGGGGTTGAGAATTTCCCCAGGTCTCTGTGACATGAACAGACTGGATCTGGGTCTCAACCTGTGCACTGGGAATCACGTGGGGAGTTTAACAAAAACTGATACCCAGAACCCATCCTCAGAGGTTCTGATGTAATTGATGTAGGGTGCAGTCTAAGCATGGGGCATTTTAAACACCCCAGGTTATTCACAGTTATTCTGATGTACTTGCCTGGGCTGCAAAGTCCCATGTTAACACTGTTTTAGAAATCTTGGAAGTTTCAGTTGAGGGAAGGCAGCAGAGGGAACAGCTTTGGACACCAGTAGGCAAGATTCACATCACAGCTCAGTCACTTACAAATTGGATGAGTTTGGGCAAATCAACTTTCCCAAGCCTCAGTTACATCATCTGTAAAAGAGGATAATGACATCCCCCTAAAAGGGAAGCACTTGAAGTAAGATTATTGAGCATCTACTAAGTGCCAGGTGCTTGGGTGTTCTTAGGGGACAATAGAAAACAAGACAGCTGTGGCTCCTTATCTTGTGATATTTACCTTCCTTAATTCAGTTTAAGAAACCTTTACTGGGTTTGGGATATCAAGCACTGTATGGGTTCAAAGATGGACAAGAAATTGTACTTGCCCTTGAGGAAAAAGAGAAGTAGACACTAATTAAAATAGAGGAAGGAAGATGACAAGAGCGTTACCAACCAAGAGTGGTGGGGTTCAAAGGAGAGAGGTATTTAGAGGGCAGACCAGGGAAGTTTCTGTGGAAGACATGATACTTTAGAAGGCCCTTAGAGGATAGATAAGATTCTGTAGAATGGGAAGAGTGGTAGTGGAAATAAACAAAAGCATGGAGGCAGGAACAGCCAATAATCCAACCTGGCAAAAGAGCTGGATGTGCATGCAGAGGAGGGAAGAGAATGTGCATACACGGCAGGAAAATCAGGGTTGGAGCCTTAAATGCTAGGGCGAGGCATTTACACTCGATTTGGTCAGCCGTGGGAACCATGCAGGGACTAGAGCTGGGTTGGATAATTCTTAGTTCTTAATACCTGGACTGCCTCTGGCTTCACTCTGGAGTTTGTGTCTTCATTGCCACTGTCCTTGGGGCCTCCCCTTTTCTGCTGATGTCCACCTTGGTCCTATGTTCAGTGCCCTGTCGCTGTCCTCAGGTAAGGGTCTGATGAACTCCCCCAACCTCAAGCATAAGATGCATCTCCAGATGGTACCTTCCTAGGTAATTGCATTTTGGCAAGTACAGTGGAAGGGGCACCAGACAGAATCTGGAGGAGGCCTGGTTCTAATCCTAGCTCTGTCTCTCATCAGCTGTGTGATGTTGGGCAAGTCACTTCCCTTCTCTGAGCCTCAGTTTCCTCATCTGAAAAGTGGCCAGGCTGGATGGGTCGATTGACAATGACCCTTCCAGCTGCAATGGACTCTGACTAACTTTGTCAATTGCTAAATCCAAGAATGTTTCTTTTGACTCATGCAAGGGGCTGCTGCTGCTGAAAATGAGGTATTAAGCATGAGGCTCAAGGGAAAGAGATGAAGAGGCCACATGTAGGTGATCAGCAGGGTCAGCTGAGCCCAGGCTTGGCTTCATCACAGCCCAGGTGGGTATGGGACTGGAGATGCCTCCAGATGATTTCAGCCTCCAGCTATTCAGGTGTTCCCAGTTGAAATCCCAGACACTGCACAGCAGAAATAAGCCATACACACTGTGCTGTCTGAACTTCTGTCCCTCAGAATGCAAGAACATAATGAAATTGTTGTCCTGTGCCACCAAGGCTGGTAATGGTTTGTCATCAGTGACAGATAAATGGAAATGGAGGAAGAGGTGTTTAGGGATAGTTTGGTGGGGGACTCCCCATGTTGGTGAAACTTCACCAGTGGGTGTCCTTCCCCTAGGTCCATCGACATCAGAAGCCACCTCTGGTCTTGGATATTACTCTATATATCATGGTGCTCTTAGGACAGGAGGCTCGCTGACTGCACTGTTCTGGATTATTGTGAAGTTTATAAACAAGGAACTCTTTCTCAAGAATGTCCTGGATGCAGAGGCACTGCTCAGCTGGAGGGCGGGGTCCATCTGTATTTGTCCCAGTGTCCAAAAGGCTGAAGGTGTGTGTGTGCTCACACTGGTAGAGGTCCTCTAGGTGCATCTTACACACGCCATCTCATCTCAACCCCACCATAGCTTCATTAGGAGCTAGCGGAAGGAGCATTTCTTCCACTTTACTGATGAAGAAAGAGCCATGCCCAAGAACATACATATGGAGTGGCTGGGCAGGACTTTGAACCTGGTGGTAGGACTGAATCTAAGGCCCTTTTGAGGAGCCCTGTGGGTGACTTAGGGATGGAAATTCCAGGGGTTGGGGGGGTCCTCATTTGCTTCCTCTAAACAGCCTCTTGTTTTGAAATAAGACTAATGAACTTGGCTTAAGTTCTATTTTCCCTTCCTTCCTCCCTTCACCCCCTCCACTCTCATTCGTTTTTTTCTTCGGGATTTTTTGGCAGAGGGCAGAGAGGAGGAACCCCTCCCAAGTCCTCTATTAGAGAAGGCGTGACGGCGAGATGGGGGCTTCACTCACCAACCATGCTAGGACAAAGGGCAAACTAGGGCAGGCCGCTCCCAGGCTGGGTCGGGGGCAGTGAGGAGCAGAGCGGCCCTTCTCATCGCAGCCCCCACCTTGCCGTGCGCTGTGGGCGTGAGGATCCCAGGAGAGTCTGCGGTGTAGGGAGCAGAGCTGGCTGGGAGGGAGGAGGCGGCCTATTCCTCAGTGGGGCTTCCTCACTCAGGGTGTGTATGGTGGGGAGAGGAGCACGCAATTGCCATTTTCTGAGGATTGTGCCAGACCATATCACACATATAAGCTCATTCAAATCGATTTCCAGATAAGGCCGGGGCAGGGTAGCCGACTTGCCCAAGGCTACGTAGCATGTGCGCGGCAGAGCCGGTAGGGACGCGCGGAGGGTCTTGCTACCGACTCTCCCGCTCTCCCGGGAGCCTGGGGAGCCCTGGGGCGTCCCCTACCTGACCGGGAAGCTGGGCTCTCGCCCCGGGGTTGTCCGGAGGGGGCTCCAGCAGGGGGCGCCCAGAGCCCCGTCCCGCGCAGTCGGGCGCGCCTCCAGCCGGCGCCTGGGACGGGGCTGGCCGCTCCGCCCCCTCGGCTCCTCGGCTGCTCAGCGGGCGGGCGCCGGGCGCTCTGGGAGGAGAGGACTGCAGGGCCGAGCCCAGCTCACCCCGCCGTGTCCCCAGTGCCCGCCGTGCCCGCCGCGGTTGCCGCAGCGCAGCCTCCCGCCGTGAGTAGCACCTGTCTGCGGGCTCGACGGGCAGGACGGGGCGCGCGGCCTGACAGCAGCAGCGCCCGGGGCTGGGGCTGGCGGGGCCAAGAGATCCGGGCACTCGCTCGCAGATCCCGGGCCCGACGCCCCAGTGCCTGACGCCGTGGCCCGGGGCATTGTGGCCGGCACCCGAGCGCTGGAGTTGCCCGCTGCTGCCCTGGGGCGCCCTCCGGAGCCTGGCGCTTTGACCTGGGAGACAGGATGGGGGCGGTGGGCAGAGCCAAGCACCCAGCAGGGAGATGGGACACAAACGTCCATCGAGTTAGGCCCCCGGGAACGGGCAGAGCACGCCCAGCTCCCGGCCAAGTCTTCTCAGCTTGGGCCGACTCTCTCACCTCCTGCTCCCGCCTGGCACAAGGAGGTGATGCGAGGAGGGTTCTCAGATGTCTGAGCCTCCTGTGGGGCCGAATGAAGCTGTGGTCCCCGCCGTCAGGCGCCCCCGGCCTGGGGCAGAGCTGGGGTGGGCGAGGAGCAGCCAGCACGCGTGCTGCAGGTTGGGGTGGAAGGACTTGGAAGGGCCTTGCTAAAAGTTGTCTAGGACTCTGGGCCAGGCATTGTGGAGGTCCCAAGACCTGCATAGGTCTGGCTAACCCTCACTATAACTCTGCACGGTGGAAACTGGTATTCTCACTTTACAAAAGAGGAAACGAGGCCCAGAGAGGTGAGCTTCGTTGAAGCCGTGCAGGTAATGGTAAGGTAGGGGTGCACACTGGAGGAGAGGGCACCGTAGCTGGCTGCCTCGGGGGGCAGATGCAGGGACAGTGCCTGACATCTTGTACACCGGAATCCATTGGAGGGCAGCTGCTCTGGTTTCTGACACTGCCTTTCTCAACTGCCTCTGTGGAAGGTATTCCTGGGAGAGTCCTGTTGACCTAAAAGGCCCTGGCGCCTTGGCCTCTTCACAGCTAACTTCAGAGCCCTGTCCTTCCCCAAACCACTCATCTCCCAAGATATTTTTTGAGCACCTCAAGTGGCACCACTAATGATTCAGCAGCTTCTGAGGAGACTTGGGCAGAGGAGTTAGGGGTGTGTGGATGTGGCTGGAGGTCTGCTCCTCTGGGGTAAGTTCCTGGCTGGCAGGAATGAGACCCGCACCCACACTGCCCACCTCCCTGAGGCCTCCTGATTTGTTAGCTGTGGGGTGAACAAGTAGGCTTCCCAAGGGAGCTAGATCTTTGCCAGAGAGACCAAGTTTCTCTTGGGTCAACTCAGGCAGGTGGCTGACCTTCTGTGGGCCCCAGCTTCCTCATCAGAGACCATGATGGGTCAAAGCCTGGAATGTAGAGAGGAGCTCTGTAATGCCAGCGCCCCACCCCTTCTGTTGGCAGCCTCTCCAGAGTCTGAGTATGTTGATTCCTAAAGGGGGTGTGTGTAATGAGACAGTCGTGTGTGTTTGGCCCAACCATTGCCTGCCCTCTTGCTGTGGTCCCGTTTCACTCACTTGCACTTGGTGAGGTGGGGTGAGGAACTGAGAGAGTTCACTTTGCAGAGTGAGCTGGGCCAGTGGGGGAGAGGGCTTTGTGAGTGTTGAGAGTTTCCTATGAGGTGATCTTCCAGCCCTGGACACCTCCTCCTAGCTTGTCCCTCATGAAGCCATTGACTTTGCCAACCCTGGTGCCATCTTGGAGGAGTTGGGGTGGCAATCAACAGAAGAAAATCTGGGAAGAGGAGTAGGATGGGTCACACATGTGATGTTCAGCGAGTCTCTTCCCTGTCTGGATCTCAGCTTCCTCTTGTAAAAACAAGTGGGTTACACCAGACAGCAGTGGTTTTCAAACTTCTGTTTCACAGTGAATTCTTACCCAGAACCTCAACATGTAGTATGGATAACATGGAACTGCTCTGGCTTCCCCTTCTCACCCTGGTGATCCTGAAGCAGGTCTAAAAATCCCTAAATAGATGATTTGTGGGATCCCTTTCTGTGGGGTTCTAGGAAATCTGTGGTAGCCCCCTGAAGTGTTGCCTAGTATTAGAGTTGTAGGCAGGAATTTGAATTCCAAGGACTCCATCAGGAGAAATGTGGGCATTAAGGTGGGTATCATCCTGGGAGCGTCTGGAGCTGATGGCCTGTACCTCTGGCCAAAAGTTGTAACTGTGTCCCTCCCCTCTGTCATGTGATTTCAGCTTTTCGAGGCTGGAAAGGTCCTTGTGCCTCTGGGTCCTTATCTGGGTCATAGCTGGGAACAATAATTCCACCTCGGTTTCACCCCTTCAGTTTGTTTCTAAACTGGTAAAATGCAAATTCTCCTTAGGAGCGGTGTTAGGAAAGTGCTTGAAGTGGCTATCAGTTGTTTTACCTGATGAGCATCTGAGCAGCAGCCTTGAGAAAGGAGGCTGGGGAGCTAAGTTAAAATCAGCCAACACTTATATAGTGCCTGCTGTATACTAGCCTACTACAAGGGGATGGAGGTGAGAATGTCACAATTCTTGCCCTTATGGGGCAAGAGAAGGGAAGGAATTCACGTTATCCAGGGACCATTTAAAAAATTACACATGAGTTTTCTCATTTGTTTCATATTAGTTTCATTTTTTACAATTATGTAAAATTTTGACCACATACAAAATAAACCTACATCCCATATATCCGTCTAACTACCACCCAGATCAGGAGACAACATTGCCAGCACTCTGAAGCCTCAGAAGCTCCCCTTCCAACTCTCCCGAGTGAGGGGATAACCACTCTTCTGACGTCTAGCACCATGCATTAATTTTCCCTAAATGGGATCACACAGTATGCGTCTTTTGTGTCTGGCTACTTCCATTTAACGATATGTTTCTGAGATTCGTCCATGTTGTTGCAGGTAGCAGTAGTTTGTTAATCTCATTGCTGGATAATGATTCCATTGTATGGGTATATAGTACCTCAATTTGTTTATCCAGTCTTCTATTGATAACCGTTTGGTTGTTTCCAATTTTTAGTTATTACTAATTGTATTGTGGTGACCATTCTAACGTGGATCGTTTGGGAAAACATCTGCATGCATTTCTCTTAGGTATGTCCAAAGACGTTGCCAAACAGTTTTCCAAAGTGGTGGTCCCAGTGTATACCCCTCCCAGCAGTGTTTGAGAGCTCCAGTTGCGGCACATACTCACCAACACTAGACATTGTCTTACATTCACTTTCCATGGAAGGAATGTGAAACTCAGAAAAGGTATCCTGTGCTCAGCTAAGCACAATGTGCCAGTAAGTGATGGAGCTGGGATTTGAACCCTGGTCTGTGTGATGACTATGGAATCTATTCTCACCCTCTGGGTTAGACATAAACATAGCCAGAATGTGATCAACTCGAGCCCTAAAAATGTATGAAGAGCACTCTTGGGGAACTTGAAGAGGTTGGAGAATTGTCATCTGTTTTTGGGAGGGCAAGGATCATGGAGCCACACAGAGATGGTAGCATTTGGCTGGGTCTTTTGGGAAGTGGGCAGTTTTGCCCACTCTCCAGGGCCTTCCAGCTGGGCCTGCCCTGACAAGGGCCCCACTTCAGCCAAGACATAGCAGGGATGAAAGTTTTAAGAGCATGGGAAAGGTCAACTTTGACTGGAATATAGGATATGTAAGGGAGGAGGCAAAGGCTGGAAAGATGACCTAAGCCTAATTGGTGGACCTAGTTTGTCCCTAGGGGGCTCACCTGCCCCCCTACCCGTGGCCACCCAGGATGTAGAACCCAAGGCAGGGGCTCACCATTTTCCTGGGAACTGGGGCTTCTTTGAATCCTGCTCTCAGCAAATGCAGCTGGCCTCTCACCAAATGGGAGATCTTAGCTGTTCCTGGGACCACTCAGGGTTTCTGCCAACAGAATTTTTTTGGAGTTTCCTGCTTGCATCTAGCTATGTGAAATTGGTAACCCCACCCCACAGGACCTGACCCAAATTGTTTATTTGGAAGGAAAAATTGTTTTTTCAGCGAAAATAAGATGGTAGATAGTACTCCCTTTACTCCCTGGGCCAATCTCGGGAGATTTGCCAGGATGTTGGGGGTGAGGGGGCGCCAAACTTCTGATTATGGTCAAGCCAAACTTGCTAGAGGGCTCCCTGGCATGGGTTAAATCACAGCAATAATCATCTTTCTTATTTGTACGGTAGTTTATATCCTTATCCCCACATGGATGTGTGAAGTATGTGATATAGATAGTATCGCTCTGTTTAGAGGTGAGGGGATGAGTCCCAGAGAGGGTGCCCACCTGCTGTGGGTCACGAGGCTAATATACACTCACGCTGGTCTGGAACTGGTGCTCCTGGAGCCTGCTCTTTTCATGCTTACCCCGGCCCTGGCCAAGCATGGAGGATGCATGAGGGAGCCTGGGCACCCACAGTCAGGTGACCCCGAGAGTAAGCCCTGTGAGCCAGGCCAGCTCCTCCTGAGGGTCTTCAGGTTCTGTGTGCCTCGGTGGAAGGGAGAGAGGCAGATGGCATCTTGGTAATGAAGCTCTGGTTTGCAGGGGGCTAAAGTGGTGGAAAGAGGGTGAAATGTATATATCCTCTGAGAGTTAGGACAGCTCCAGCCACTTGGTGTTGATGAGATATGCCCTTATGGAATGGTTCCTCCACCTAGCCTGGTGAAAATAGTCTTTTGAGGTTCATGGAGCCCACATGTGGTTGGGATCTGATTGGCGGTCAGCAGAAAAGCTGTCAGTGCTAACCAAAATGAGCTCCGAGAGGCCTTTGCTAAAGACCCTTGGAAGACACATCCACAGGCAGCTGGTTTTATTCTTGCGATTTGCAGACTGTGCCCTGGGCCCTGCTCTTGGGGTGTTGTCCAGAGTGGCACGTGGCTGTCCCAGGAATGGGTAAGCCCCTTGGGGCAGAGGGATCCCAGGAGAGGATGCAGACAGTCTTTTCTGGTGGAGTGGTAAGTGCTCCCTATGGCTCAGAGTTGGCCTATGGCTTTCAGTGAGATGCCTGGGGCAGGCAGAGTTGGCTCGATTTTACAGATGAGGACAAGAGAGGAGATCACAGGGCTAGTTGCAGGCAGAGCTGGAACTAGCAACTCAGGCTCCTGACTCCTGGCGCATTTTGGGATTTGCCTCGCTCCTCCTGCCCATCTTTCTTTCGGGGGTGATGAGTGAGAGAGTTTACAGATTAGTTCAGACACGCAGTTGGGTGGTACAACCCCAGAGGGAGCTGAGATCATGATAGTGATCTCACCTTTTAACAGCATTTTCTAGTTGACAAAATAATTGCATGACTTGAAGTTGATTTTACAGTGATAGCCCCATTTTACAGATGAAGATGCTAAGTCTCCGGCAGCTTAAGTGGCTTACCCAAGCAAGACTGGGACTTGTACCTAGGACTTCTGACTTTAAAGCTAGTGCTTTTTTTTTTTTTTTTTTTTTCTGTTGCCCAGACTGGAGTGCAGTGGCACAATCTCGGCTCACTGCAACCTCTGCCTCCCGGGTTCAAGTGATTCTCATGCCTCAGTCTCCTCCCGAGTAGCTGGGATTACAGGTGCGTGCCATCATACCCAACTAATTTTTGTATTTTTGGTAGAGATGGAGTGTCACCATGTTGGCCAGGCTGATCTCGAACTCCTGACCTCGAGTGCTCCACCCACCTTCGCCTCCCAAAGTGCTGGGATTACAGGTTTGAGCACCACTCCTGGCCTTTTTTTTTTTTTTTTTTTTAAACTACACAATAGCTACCTCTTTTTGCAGTAGTTTTGAATTTAATGAAAACAAATAGCTGAAGTTCACCATGGATATTTTTCTGAACTTCTTCAAACAGATCTGAAGACCTGAGGAGCTCTCCTTTCCTGTCTCCTTAACAAATTTGAATTCATGTAAATTAAATAAGAACCATACATCATCAGCTGCAAGTGAGAAAAGGCTTGAGCAGGGCAGTTCTTGAGGAGCCAGGGCTGTGGATTATTACTAAATTATTAGCTCTCTTGCAGCCAATTATGTTTAGGCCTTAGACTCTCAGGCTTGTGCTAATTTGGATGGCTGTCCTAACCACAGGTTTCTTCTCATTTCAGGGTTGTATGTTCGAGGCCTCAATGAGGAGCCCAAACATGGAGCCATTCAAGCAGCAGAAGGTGGAGGACTTTTATGACATCGGAGAGGAGCTGGGGAGGTAGGAGACTGTGCGAGAGGTGGGGGGATGCCGAAGGAGCCAAAGTCATGCTTCTTCTAGCACAATTGTCAGTTGGTGTTGGAAGGCAGGGCCCCAGGACCAGTGGGAAGCTTTAAAAATGAACCTGAGGATTATTCACCTGCCTGGGTGACTTTGCACATAGTCATTGCTCTGAAAATAATGACTTGCCAGTAAAAGGGATGAGAATTGTTGAGTTCTGTGTTTTCAGCATAATCTAGCTGGCAGGGAAAACCTTCATGATTCTTGTTTGATCTGTTACTTTTTTCATGAAGTTCCCCCAGGCTCTGGATAGAGACCTGACTTGTTGGTTTTCTTCTGAGTCTCACTTGGGATTCTCCATGGTTCCCAAGGTTTTGTTTTAAGCTCCGAACCTGGATGGGAGGTGAGGTAATCCTCCTGAGAATGGATTTATGTTGAGTAACCAGCCACACAAGCCGTCATGAAGTTTTCCTGGGATCTTTGTTACTTGGTGCATTTTCAGGTTTGCTGAGCCCAGAACACAGCCAGGGTGAAAATCAGATCTGATAGTACTATAGTTACTATTTGGATAGAAATTAAGGTTTTCTGAAGCTCTTTTCTTGCCTTCCATTTCTACCAGCTGCTAAGATTTAGGTGGCAGTGTAGTGATTACAAAACACCAGTCCTGAAGTTTGAGTCTCACAACAGTGCATGAAATAGGCATTATTTTTACTGTCATTTTCCAGATGAGGAAACTGTGGTCCAGCATTTGGGCAAGTTGCCCAAAGTTGCTGAGCCAGTGAGTGACATAGCCAAGGTTCTGAGCAGTCCATTTTGCACCTGCACACCTGTTATGCCCTCTCCCATGAGCTTGGCATTTGTACACTCACACATGCTCATCAGAGCACCCAACCTCACCCCTTCACACACAGTGCAGCATGAAAACATGGGAATTTAGAGTGTGTAGACCCGGAAAACCTGAGACGGGTCTCAGTTCATTTAGAAAGTTTATTTTGTCAAGGTTGAGGACACACGCCCATGACAGCCTCAGGAGGTCCTGACGACCTGTGCCCAAGGTTGTCACAGCACAGTTTGGTTTTATACCTTCTAGGGAGACATGAGACATCAATCAAATATGCAAGATGAACACTGGTTTGGTCTGGAAGGGCAGGACAACTCCAACTCTAAAGGGAAGACTCTAATGGGGAGGGGGCTTCCAGGTCATAGGTAGATAAGAGACAGATGGTTGCATTCGTTTGAGTTTCTGGTCAGCCTTTCTAAAGGAGGCAATCAGATACGCATTTATCTCAGTTAGCAGAGGGGTGACTTTGAATAGAATGGGAGGCAGGTTTGCCCTAAGCAGTTCCCAGCTTGACTTTTCCCTTTAGCTTAGGGATGTGGGGGCCCCAATATTTAGTTTCCTTTCGCAAGTGTCTACTGTATCCAACAGGCAAAACAGGAGTTCTTTTCGCTCTATAGAACTCCTAGGTCAGGACTAATTGTCTTGCTTTTTTTTTTTTTTTTTTAACTTTCAAAGATAAAACAGGGCTTCAAAGCCAGGAGAGCTTCACTCCAAAGAGAATGAGAGACAGCAGGTGCTTCAAGATCAGGGAGTTCATCCTGGCTGGCAGGATGGTGCGTGGGGGAGCAAATAACTGCAGAGAACCCAGAGGGGGATGACTTCTCCCAGTCTCGGGCCTGGTGAAGGGATAGGAAGAGAACATAGGACCAGAGGCTAGGGTTGGTCACTGGAGCCTGCCGTATGGGAAGCCAGGTTCTCTTTGCCTCAGGTTCTTCTCCTGCCCTTGGTGGCACCAGCAGAAAGGTGGCATTCTCAGCAACAAACCACGGCCAGCCCTGCCAGTGGTGCTCGATTCAGTGCCCTCACTTGGCCATGCCCTGTGTGTAGGGGTCTGTGCTGAGTACTGTGGGTATCAAGACGAGCAAGATCAGACAGTCTCTGCCCTCCTGGAGCTCCACCCTGGCAGTGAGACAGCTACACACATGCTAACAAGGGCACTCTTGGATTGGACTAGAGTCTGGTTGGGCAGAGAAACTGAGAAGTTGTGGGGAGTGGGACTCTGAAGAAGGAAGTAGAAGCAGCTTCCTGGGGATTGCATTTATGATTCCTTCTTAGTCTTGTCTCTCCCTGACTCCATATATCAAGGACATGTGCTATTAGACCCAGAAGAGACCTCATGTTTTCTGGTCCTCTACCTGCAATAGGGTGTGGAGATCCCATGCATCTCATAGTCTTGGATGTCTTGGGGTGATTCTCACCTCCCCTATTCTTCTAAAGTGCTACTGGGGCAAAAGGTGAGTAAGCAGCAGATGAGGCCCAGGGACTAGGGGCCAGCGGCCTTTGGAGTGGCCAGATGTCCTAGGATTTGTGGTCTAGAGGTCAGATGACCTAGAAGGCCTTTAGAGGTCCTGTCTTTCAGGCCTCTCACTTGACAGTTGAAGAAATGGAGGCTCAGAGAGGGGAAGGGTCTTGCCTGGGGCCACAGAACAGGCTAGAACTAGAGCTGCCTTTGGATGACCACTCAGCTTCTGAAGGGACAGTCCTATTCTTCTCTCCTGCCCTCCTGGTCTTCACTTAACATATTCTTGGGGACCTACTGTGTGCCATGCACCGTCCAAGCAGTGGAAAACAAAACAGACACAGTCCTGTCCTCTGGCAGTTTATGCTCCCCAGGCTCGTGGAGAAAGGCACTAGACAAGTGGATGCTAAGGGATAAATCACCATAAGGTGTGTTAAGGGCTAAGAAAAGAGAGAAAAGGATGCCCTGCAAGGGAATGATGGGGGATGTAGTTCCAACTGGGTGGTTAGAGAAGATTGCTCTGAGGAATTGACTGCTCATTTGAGAACTGAGGGGTAAATGCACAAGCCAAGTCAGCAGCATGGATGAGCCCTGAAGTGGGGAAGTGCCTGGGACCTGGGGAGCCAGCAGGAGGCTGGTATGACCTTGGAAAGTGGGCCAGGGGCAAGCAGTGTTACATGAGGCTGGTGGCATGGGGACCAGATCCAGTTGGTGAATTCCCTGCCAACACAGATTAGTGGAGAGGTTTGGCCTTTGCGGTCACATGGGTTGGGGTTTGGGCCCCTGTCCTAGCTGTGCAACATTAGGACAATCTGCCCTCTCTGAGCCTCAGCTTTTTTACCTGTGAGACAGAAAGAGTACCATCACCTAGCTCATGGTCATGGGGATGAAATGAGATGCCGAGTCAGGAATCCCTCTCAGAGCTGGGCATGGGGTAAGTGTTCATGAACAAGAGCTTCTGGCTTTCAACAGTGACCAGATCGAGCCTTTGAAGTAGGTTTGGAGTGTCAAGGCCCCATCTTCTGCCTCTGCAGCCTTCTAGGAGGAAGGCGTGGCACCCTGCAGGAAGAAGAGCAGGGGGATCATCCTGATGTCTGGGGATCTCAATGTAAACCTCCTTACTTGGCTGTCAGTGAGCACCCTAGTGTAGATTCAGGGCCCTCTCATTGATTTTAGCTCTTCATTAAGTCCTAACTATGCAAAAATGAAAATGTACAATAATTTGTTACATGTAACAATGGATAAAGCTCAGACACGTAATGTTGAGCAAAGGAAGGCAGACTCAGAAGGATCTGTGCTGCTTTTTTCCATTTGTGAAAGTTCAAAACGGGCAAAAGGAATCAATGGTGACAGAAGTCTGAATGGTGGTTATCCTTCAGGGACTAGTGACTGGAAGGGGGCACAAAAGGGATTCACAAAAGGGTGCTGTATTCTGTTTCTTGATCTGGGTGTCTGTTTCACAGATGTGTTCATTTTATGAGTATTTATATGAAGACATACATGCATATGGGCATTTTCCTGTTTATTAGACCTTAACTAAAATAGTATATAAATATATATATATAAATATATATATATTTTTTTGAGATGGAGTTTCACTGTGTCACCAGGTTGGAGTGCGGTGGTGAGATCTCAGGGGGAGGGTGCTGGGAGGTAGGCCCAGTGATGGTTTCGTGAACTTCAGCATAGACAACTACTGCATGCACGATGATATAAAGTAATTTAACATAAGCAGCAGATAATGAAGAGTGATTCCTTATTTCCTATCCTCCTGCAACCTCCGCCTCCAGGGTTCAAGCTATTCTCCTGCTTCAGCCTCCTGAGTAGCTGGGACTACAGATGCGTGCCACCATGCCCAGATAATTTTTGTATTTTTAGTAGAGATGGGGTTTCACCATACTGGCCAGGAAGGTCTTGATCTCTTGACCTTGTGATCCACCCGCCTCAGCATCCCCCGAAAAATAAATAACCTTTAACTCTACTTCCTGCCCTGGCCTGGTTCACATGTTTCTGATGCCTTTAGAAGCTTTGTCTATCCTTATCCTATGAGTAAGAGCATCTCTGTAGGAAAAGCTTTGGATGGAAATAGGATACCCTGGCAGGAGCATCCTGCACTCTGCTGGGACCCTCCCTGGCCCTGCATATTTGCCTGATTTCTAGCTTCCAGCGCTGAGTGCAGGCAGTTGGCTGTGCTCACACTTTTGGCACCAGCCTGCTTGGGATGCTGGAGGTTGTCTGCTGTTTCGGGGAGTGTTTGGAGAAATGTTGGCTTGCAGACGTTGGCGTCTCCCAGCCTTGGTAGCAATCAGTAGAGCAGAGCAAGGAAACATTAGAGCAGGGCTCATAAAGAGAAACTCATCCAACTCCTCATTATATAGATGAGGCTAAGGCCAGAGAGGAGAAGTGGTGAACTGGTGATAGAACCAGGGTGAGGTCTGGTGGTCTGACTCCTAGCCCAGGACTCTGGCCACCACATCTTAAGGACCCACAAGACACAAAGTCATTTCTTCCTTTAATTGGAATGCTTCTGAGCAGTGGGAGAGAATATAAGGGAAGGAAGTCTTTTCTGTTTGTACTTGAGGGTAGTGTAGCACGGTCAAAGTTAGGAGAACGAGCCTTTGGGAAGGAGTGATGTTTCTCAGAGGCAGGGTGCTGGGAGGTAGGCCCAGTGATGGTTTATGAAATTCTGCATAGACAACT